AAGTGGACCTGGTTTTTCCGTTTTGACGGTTTCGTCCCATTTTTAAAGTTTGAGCACCCGCGCCTTCACAGGGAACTTTTGGAGCACGGCTCATGCACCCATTCTGGGCGAAATATATAATTTTCATCCCTCTACTACATGCTAGTGCCATGGCAAATACTTGGAAATAAATCTGTCTTGAGAAAAACCGCTCCGAAGTGGACCTGGTTTTTCCGTTTCGACGGTTTCGTCCCATTTTTAAAGTGTGAGCACCCGCGCCTTCACAGGGAACTTTTGGAGCACGGCTCATGCACCCATTTTGGGCGAAATATATCATTTTCATCCCTCTATTACATGCTGGTGCCATGGCAAATACTTGGAAATAAATCTGTCTTGAGAAAAACCGCTCCGAAGTGGACCTGGTTTTTCCGTTTTGACGGTTTCGTCCCATTTTTAAAGTTTGAGCACCCGCGCCTTCACAGGGAACTTTTGGAGCACAGCTCATGCACCCATTCTGGGCGAAATATATAATTTTCATCCCTCTACTACATGCTAGTGCCATGGCAAATACTTGGAAATAAATCTGTCTTGAGAAAAACCGCTCCGAAGTGGACCTGGTTTTTCCATTTCCACGGTTTCATCCCATTTTTAAAGTTTGAGCACCCGCGCCTTCACAGGGAACTTTTGGAGCACGGCTCATGCACCCATTCTGGGCGAAATATATAACTTTCATCCCTCTACTACATGCTAGTGCCATGGCAAATACTTGGAAATAAATCTGTCTTGAGAAAAACCGCTCCGAAGTGGACCTGGTTTTTCCGTTTTGACGGTTTCGTCCCATTTTTTAAAGTTTGAGCACCCGCGCCTTCACAGGGAACTTTTGGAGCACGGCTCATGCACGCATTCTGGGCGAAATGTATAATTTTCATCCCTCTACTACATGCTAGTGCCATGGCAAATACTTGGAAATAAATCTGTCTTGAGAAAAACCGCTCCGAAGTGGACCTGGTTTTTCCGTTTTGACGGTTTCGTCCCATTTTTAAAGTTTGAGCACCCGCGCCTTCACAGGGAACTTTTGGAGCACGGCTCATGCACCCATTCTGGGCGAAATATATAATTTTCATCCCTCTACTACATGCTAGTGCCATGGCAAATACTTGGAAATAAATCTGTCTTGAGAAAAACCGCTCCGAAGTGGACCTGGTTTTTCCGTTTCGACGGTTTCGTCCCATTTTTAAAGTGTGAGCACCCGCGCCTTCACAGGGAACTTTTGGAGCACAGCTCATGCACCCATTCTGGGCGAAATATATAATTTTCATCCCTCTACTACATGCTAGTGCCATGGCAAATACTTGGAAATAAATCTGTCTTGAGAAAAACCGCTCCGAAGTGGACCTGGTTTTTCCATTTCCACGGTTTCATCCCATTTTTAAAGTTTGAGCACCCGCGCCTTCACAGGGAACTTTTGGAGCACGGCTCATGCACCCATTCTGGGCGAAATATATAACTTTCATCCCTCTACTACATGCTAGTGCCATGGCAAATACTTGGAAATAAATCTGTCTTGAGAAAAACCGCTCCGAAGTGGACCTGGTTTTTCCGTTTTGACAGTTTCGTCCCATTTTTAAAGTTTGAGCACCCGCGCCTTCACAGGGAACTTTTGGAGCACGGCTCATGCACCCATTCTGGGCGAAATATATAATTTTCATCCCTCTACTACATGCTAGTGCCATGGCAAATTCTTGGAAATAAATCTGTCTTGAGAAAAACCGCTCCGAAGTGGACCTGGTTTTTCCGTTTCGACGGTTTCGTCCCATTTTTAAAGTGTGAGCACCCGCGCCTTCACAGGGAACTTTTGGAGCACGGCTCATGCACCCATTTTGGGCGAAATATATCATTTTCATCCCTCTATTACATGCTGGTGCCATGGCAAATACTTGGAAATAAATCTGTCTTGAGAAAAACCGCTCCGAAGTGGACCTGGTTTTTCCGTTTTGACGGTTTCGTCCCATTTTTAAAGTTTGAGCACCCGCGCCTTCACAGGGAACTTTTGGAGCACAGCTCATGCACCCATTCTGGGCGAAATATATAATTTTCATCCCTCTACTACATGCTAGTGCCATGGCAAATACTTGGAAATAAATCTGTCTTGAGAAAAACCACTCCGAAGTGGACCTGGTTTATCCATTTCCACGGTTTCATCCCATTTTTTAAAGTTTGAGCACCCGCGCCTTCACAGGGAACTTTTGGAGCACGGCTCATGCACGCATTCTGGGCGAAATGTATAACTTTCATCCCTCTACTACATGCTAGTGCCATGGCAAATACTTGGAAATAAATCTGTCTTGAGAAAAACCGCTCCGAAGTGGACCTGGTTTTTCCGTTTTGACGGTTTCGTCCCATTTTTAAAGTTTGAGCACCCGCGCCTTCACAGCGAACTTTTGGAGCACGGCTCATGCACCCATTCTGGGCGAAATGTATAATTTTCATCCCTCTACTACATGCTAGTGCCATGGCAAATACTTGGAAATAAATCTGTCTTGAGAAAAACCGCTCCGAAGTGGACCTGGTTTTTCCGTTTTGACGGTTTCGTCCCATTTTTAAAGTTTGAGCACCCGCGCCTTCACAGCGAACTTTTGGAGCACGGCTCATGCACCCATTCTGGGCGAAATATATAACTTTCTTCCCTCTACTACATGCTAGTGCCATGGCAAATACTTGGAAATAAATCTGTCTTGAGAAAAACCACTCCGAAGTGGACCTGGTTTATCCATTTCCACGGTTTCGTCCCATTTTTAAAGTTTGAGCACCCGCGCCTTCACAGGGAACTTTTGGAGCACGGCTCATGCACCCATTTTGGGCGAAATATATCATTTTCATCCCTCTATTACATGCTGGTGCCATGGCAAATACTTGGAAATAAATCTGTCTTGAGAAAAACCGCTCCGAAGTGGACCTGGTTTTTCCGTTTCGACGGTTTCGTCCCATTTTTAAAGTTTGAGCACCCGCGCCTTCACAGGGAACTTTTGGAGCACGGCTCATGCACCCATTTTGGGCGAAATATATCATTTTCATCCCTCTACTACATGCTGGTGCCATGGCAAATACTTGGAAATAAATCTGTCTTGAGAAAAACCGCTTCAAACTAGACCTGGTTTCTCCGTTTTGACGGCTTCGTCCAACTTTTCAAATTCGGGCCTCCGCTCATCCACAAGGAACTTGTTTAGAACATTCGGGTCTTTAACTGGGAAAAATGATAGAATTTAAGTCCATCAAATCAATCATGGTACAACTGCATATCCTTGAAAATAAACCTCCTCGATGGGAAAGGCGTTCGAGCGAGGACGTTACGTAGTTCTCAATTTCCAATGTTCTCCTCGCTGGATCGACCGACATGTTTTTTACTTGATATTTTGAATTTATGCGCTTGACGTGTCATGAAGAGACCATCAAGTACAGTCAGCTTCCTTGCCAAATAATCACTCAATATTCCCACTTTATTCGCCCTAAATGTAGCTTCGCCAAGGTCAATAATTTCTTAATGATTAATAACAATATTTCTATACCTTTTCTTAGCCATGATAAAATTTCTAAATGAAAAAACAAATAGTTGCTTTCTTTGTTTGGTAGTTTAGTGATCCCAGCAGCAGAATGCAGGGAACGATTCTGAACAGCTGGCTGATCGATTATGCGCCTGGTTCGACAAACTGGTCTCAGGAACCCGAGGAAATAAGTTTGAGAGAAGACGGAGCGTACACTACGCTTCCTGGATGTTTTTGCCTTGTCGCAGTTATATGGCAAATCTCGTATCTTTCTGTATTTTTAAATTAGGGAGGTTTGAAAATCACTTTGTGTGGCACGTTTGGGAGAGGTGCCCCAGAAGGATGTTTTTTCTACGCATTAGAAAATATCATACAAATCACGAAACTTTGTCATATGATTGGGGGAGGGTTGTATTTATAATATAAAATTAAAATTTATTTCACTGACCTAATAATATATTTTAAAAACCGATCAAACCTGATACCACCCATAGTGGCTATGCATCAAATAATTTACTCGAATGAGGAACCTGCAGTTTATGCGCTGTAATCTTGACTTTTTTGCGGAAGGATTGGATCGGGTCAGAGATTGGACGGGTAGCATGGCAAATCTGAAAAAATGTGATGTTGAGCAAATATTGCCGTATTTCTATATTTAATACATTGCTTCTATGGGAGCGTTGCCATAATCCGCCAAGAGATGGCGCTAGCATGCGATGGCACAGATTTCTGGGGATGGTTAGTTGCGAGACCACAAATGACCCTCTCGGGACCAGAAAACATGAGATAACGGCCATTAATAGTTCACGTTCTGTGTATAATCCCTTGTCGACGTGTAGATCTAAACCGAAACCATGCCACTCTCCTTTCTGGCCAACTAGTTCCCAGAGTGCAACGCGCGCCGTGTTGCATGCAGGGATTTATGAAAGTAGTCTATTGAAGGCGTCACGCATTGTCGTGCTCTGCTCACCACGTCTGAGATAATGTGTTATATGCCTCACAAGGAAAAACAATTTCCCTTTCTGTCATTGAGAGTCAAAACCATGAAATATATTGGCATAGTTCTTAACTATTGTGTTTTCTATACTTACCGCGATGTTTCCCAGATTTAATGAAGATACACTAGAATTAGAAACTATTTGTGTTTTATTGTTTACTTTACTTGAAATAGGCCTCGAGTTCAGTTGGACAAAATATTTAAAAAAGATAAAGGACAATGAACATTACAAAAGAACGACTAGGATAATGAAACTCACGTTTTACAATGCTTTTACCGTATTTTCAAGACAGATATTCTGCGAAACAAACTGGAAAAACGTGAAATCACGTGAAGCGTCCACCCTAAGTTTTCACTGCCACTTGGCTTCGCACATGTTCGTAAATGCCTTTGCATACGTAGCAAACGAAGTGCAGTTTTCTGCTACTTGAACTTTATTTTGGCATGCACTGAAGAGACATTAATAACCTAAATGTACTCACCTCCACTGCGCTCTAGTGTCCTCAAAATATAACACGATGGCTCACTAAATACGACGTATGAATCATAATATTCCTCATCATGGGAAAAATAGAAAGGATCTCGGAGTCCCGAGTCACATTGGTAATTGGTGTAATCAACTAAGTTGTAGGATCCATCTGCAGTTCTGCTTCCGTAATCTGGTGCGTCTTTTTATGGAAAAGAAAACGTTTACAAGTAAGGTTAGTTGTGCCCAAGTAATATTAATATAATTCATATTTATTCATATTTTTCTTATCTATAATCTATAAAAAAATTGCAAAGTAAGATATTTCGAAATATTTCCTTTTCATGGAGAAAGAGATGCATTTTTTACTGCAAATATTACCCGGAACAGTCTAAGAAATAAATTATAGCTTGACTACCGCGACTTTCCTGTCAATAATTTTCTTACATATGCCTATTTTATTACCCAGATAGCTAATGGCCACAGTGTTAACGTAAAAATATACTGATTAATTTTCAGACTCCTCTTCGGTTAATTCGCTTTAAGCCCTTAAGTATTAAGCAACATAAAGTTTGGCATTTTCTAGCAAAAAGAATAGTGATTATACGCTTATTTCTATGATAACTTTAAAATAGCCTGATCAAACTGATAAAGACCGGTGGACCAAAAATGTGCAGACCTACCGTGCACATTAAGTTGTGTGCGTTGCGCATATGGTATGTGCTCGATAGTGGCAGGGCTCATGTGTGCGGGGCTAGCGCAGCCATACAAATCGTGTGTGTCATGATTTGATGACAATAATGATTACAAAACAATACGAACGACAAAAAAAGCAAGAGAAAAGCACGAGCAGTTAGAGAGTAACCCTGAGGGGGCTTGTGGAAGCCGGGAGAATTACCGCAACGGACGGTCGAAGTAGCGCCGTACAGCTGCGACGGCCAGCTAAGCTCTAAACCGGGTCCACAAAGCCCTCGAAGGACTCCGGGGACCGAGGCTGCCACGTACAGCGCCTGGAGAGGCAAGCCGCTACAACACCTTGTGTTCTCGAATATCATCAAGGCAAAGACGCTCCCTTTCCTGGGCCTAAGTTGAGGCCGAAGTTGACAAAAGCGCACCAATTGGCCTATCGCGACGATTACTTCGGGCTTTTTCGCCGACGTCCGATCGGCGCGCTCCTCCAACTTGCGGTTCCAACTTTGTGTTCGGCAAGTTTGGGGCCCCGAGGGACCTGCCACGCGATGAACTGACGGACCAAGCGATGATACCAAATGGGACTATAGCTATGACCGTAAACCTGCACGTTTCATAACGCTTACATTGAATTTGTCAAGTTCTTTATTTCCCTCAAAGTGCTTTTAGAGCGCAGCTCTTAGGCGCCTGTTTCCGTATTTCGCGGCGTCGGCGTCGCCGTCGGCGTAGCCGCGCTAAATTTAGCGGGAAAATTGACGTCACGTGACCTAAACACTAATTAAGTTCCCCGATAAATTTAGCGGAGAATTGAATCGGTATGGAGGTCACGTGACGTCAATTTACCTTTTAAATCTAACGGAGAAACTGAATTTGTGCGTACATGACGTGACACCAAGTCATGTGATGTCCTTTTCCTTGCTAAATTTTGCGGGGAAACTGAATTGGTGTTGAGGTCACGTGACGTCAATTTTTCAGCTAAATTTAGCGAGGAAGCTGCGAGGGGGAAGATATGGAGGAGAAGGAGGGGGTATGGAGGAGGATGATGGGAAGGTAAAGAGCAGGAGGAGGCGAGGTTATGGAAGAGGAGGGGCTGGAAGAGGAGGAGGAGAGGGTGCGGAGGAGGAGGAGGGAGCTACCCTTTCCTCCTCCTCCTGTAAAGCTGCGCTCTAATTTCGCTTTAGATAGAGTTTTAAACGTCTTTATTTTTTTTCGAAAGGCTACTTGGCTTATATTGATTTCTCGTTTCTGTAAATATACAACTTATTTCTGATTCCCGAAATCATCATGGCCTCTGTCTTCCTATTTTCCCGATGGGCGTGACTATGTGTATGGTAGCTACACAAAATGTGTGTTCCCCGGTCTTTGTCAGCAGGATCAAGCTAATGTAGATTTTTTAAGTATTATTTCGGGGCAATGCCAGCCGATCTCTTTCACTATTGAATGTCTAGACAAATACGACTAGTAGACAAAAAACAGAAGTTGTAAGTTATACGTTTTATATCCCTTGTCAATAATCGTGTTCAGCTGCAGTAGTATGCATGTATATAGTCGCGATAAGCAACTTAATAACATAACAGAATGCGAGCTGCATGTTTTAATTGACGTATATGTGCCTGCATAAATGATGCGCATATTTTTTATTTGCCTTGCTTTTTATTTCCGCTCCCGCTACCACTGCAACACGCACAACACTTTCCAGTTTTTAAATGAGGTAAATTGAGTTTACAAATTTTACATGCAAAGTTAAGAATACATCTGATTACTTACTGGGGTACCAAAATCGGATGATGTTTTCCATATAATAATTATTTTGTTTTATTGCTGCTACCTGACTGATCCATGATACCCTGGGCGCAAAAGAGAAATTATTATATATATTTTTTTTTTGCAAGCTGCTTTTGCTCGGTACAATCTGCGTCTAAGTATGGAATGATAAGGACAGCTGCGTACGCTTTGTTGTGTATATTTCAAGATAAAATATTTAATGCAGAATTATTCTCGATAATATCAGCAGCAAGCACTTCTTTCCCTATGAATAGTCAGCTTGGCGTCGTCGTTATATCGAAGATTTCATTAGCTCTTTCTACCAATACGCAAGGAGTCAAATTTAGTTTTAGGTCTCCGCATAAACACGCATTACAGCTTTTCCTAGTTCATTCAACGCTAAAACTTTTTTTTTTGTCAACGCGACTCTACCATTATAGTTATTATCAATAAACACAGCAGTATATTGTTAAAATAGGTTCTAAGACGTATTGCCACAATCAAAACCTAAATAGTACCGTGGTCACTGTAAACACAATTTGAAAATATCACAAATTGTCTGTCATCATTATAGGGTCCATATGGCAGACACGTTACGTTTTGTAGACCACGCAAAAATTATCTGTATTTTTTTTTCTTTTCGTCTTGTGAGTTCACTTTCTGCGATCTAGCCGGCTCGCTTTTCAATGCGGCCATACGTTGTTTTTTTTTTTTTTTGCTTTTTTGTTTGTGCGAAGACCCCTTTCATTTCTTCTCACAAAGCTACGTCGTCCAATGCCCATTCATTCGCCCCACAAGAGGTGAACTTTTATAATCTTTCAACGCTTAACGTTATTAGTGCAATTAATGTGTCCGCTGAACGTACATTATACGTTTCTACGTTATATACACAGACACGCTTCTAACGTTTGCCTACACTGAAGCGAATCTCGTATTATTTGATCCTGTGACGGCGACGTCTGTCAAATCTGAATCAACGAGGAGGATATTGTATGCATTTCCATTTCAAGACTAAGTACAGGTTTCAAACTGGTGGATATTTTAATCTAAACTCTTATAGAACTCCTTAATATACAATATCCCATTCATAGACAGACTCAAATACATATGTTTTATACAAGTTGTAAACAGGCAGTAAATGATGAAAAAAAAAAGCCTCTCTCACAATTGGAAAAACGCAAAAGAAGAAAACATGCAGGAACGAAAACGGACGGTACAGTTCTTTCGACTAGCAGCCGACATTCAATTATGCCACCCTCAAGGCGTCAACCTTTTTCTTCCATGACCCTAAAATCCGCCCCGCGAAAAGAAAACAACAAAAAAAAACACTTTGGGAAAAAAAGAACCCCCCGAGAAGAACCAGTTCGTTAAAGAAAATAGACAACTACCACACAAAAAACTGTCAAGGAAAAAGAGAATTAAAAAGAAGGGGAAAAAAATAAAGGGAAATGGGAAAAAAAAGGACTGTTACGGATTCAAATTGAAGAAACTACTTTCGCTTCTGCTTCAGAAACTCTGCCTCAGTCTTGGATAACCTAAGGGAGGGCGAGGCAAAGTTCAACTCATCAGCGGCCATCCTATGCGGAAAGCTAGTCGCCTGCTTCTTGTGCAGGAATTCCAATGACGTCAGAACGATGCCGAGCTCTTACTGGCTGCTTGAAAAAATAGTGGTAGACCTCAAAGCATTTAGCCATGGGATCTACCTGCTATTCTTTCACTCGGCCAATCAGAACTCGGCGTCGTTCTGACGTCACCGGAACTCCCGTGCAAGAAGCAGACGACTTGCTCTCCGCTTAGGACTCAATTATTTCTCTGCCAAGTCCAGCCTTGTGAATGCGAGCCTCGTCAATGCACTTTCTGTGAAAACCACCATGTGTAAGCGGAAGCTGCTTAATGACTATTCTGTGAAGCACTTATTTCCAGCACTAGTCGGCCAAAGCAAAAAAAGTGCGGCTCACATTTCAAACAAATGCGGTTATGCTCCACAACAACATGAAGAGTCTTACTGGACACTCCGGTTACTTCTTCATTAATGTAATAATTTATTATTGGTTGGTGCTTGTTTTTATACATTTTGTGCATCCGTTTGTTATTTATTATTTCGAGTTTTTTTTATTATATTTGCCAACCCTCCCTAAGTTTATTTTCTTTCTCACAAATCGTTGTTTGTTCTAAAAGTAACTTCAGGATGGCACTATCGGAGACTTATAATGTCAACTTACTGCTCTTCAATTATTTTGCTCCAACGACCGTAGATGTTCCAGGTCAAATTGTAAACCGCAGTTTTCGATGTTTGATTCATATCACTTGTCCTTAAATGTATACATCTTTTATTGTTGTAGTTATATTCGTACTCATTAACATACATCATATAGTATGCCTTATTTTTAGTATTCTTAATGACCTGAAAAAATAATAGATATTTTATTATGCCTTATATAATCTCAGTTCTTGCTTCCCAATGTTACTAGCTCTCTAGTTCGAATGACAGTTCTTGCTTGTATTTTCGTGTGAAACCAAGCCTATGCACTAAAATATTGTCACGAATGACAGAGTATGAAGCGACAATAAAACAGGAACTAGGCGTTTATTTTGGCGAACTTGTGCCAAAAACAAAATTACAAAGAGCTAACGTCGCAGGTAGCCGGAGTAGCTCGATCGAGCGCAAGAGCGAGACTTACCCCGCCTCGCTCTTATGTACATACACCCGTGGGCTTCTGGAACAATCAGCGTAGAATGTTTCGCACGTAGAACATTCGGACCTCGAGCAACAAACGCGGTTCTTGAATTTGCCTGAACGCGACATTTGCTGAAATAACAAAGAAGTACATCTGCAACCAAGCACCAAACCTCGCCTCTTTGTGTGGGAGCCAAGCAGGATAACCGTTCGGCCACGTGCACACTTGCTTCAAATCCGCGTGGCAGTATTAGCGAAGAGTAAGGTAACTCGCAGCGAAATTATCATAAGCTTGTTTGTGGCGCATCGAACTCGTAAAATCTCGAAACGCCAAATTCGAAATTTGCCCTTTCACATTTCGCCCCATTCTCTTTTGATCTTTCTCAAAAATTCCATAGCGATTTTTTTTCGCATTTACACTATACGCAATCGGGCCTATTTGCATTTGTTCTCGTTTGCATATTTTTCCGGTTGCACTACGACCGAACTGCATGCACGTGGTTCTCAGCGCTCCATCGGCTACTATCTACTTTAGCTCTCTCGCGCGCAAATAACTTTCTCCCTAAACTTTCTTTAATTAATAAACAAACAAAGAAATAATCAACGAAAACAATAAAAACTTTGCTCCTGGGCAAAGTTGGGCATTCATGCGTAATATTTAGTATGAAATTCTTTGACGCAGTTCCTGCTGGGGACCAGGCAAAGATATGCTGCAGTTGCTGCAGTACAGGACTCATTTTAAAATATATTTAGGGTAGTACACAATGAACAAAATGTAAGGGCGCGAACGAGCTGGTGTACATCGCACATGGTTGAAAAAAACCCGAGACTGCGGGTAAACGACACAACACTAAAAAGTCTCTACACAAGTGTTGTGTCGTTTACCCGTAGTACCCGTAGTTTTAGTGTTGTGTCTTTTACCCGTCGTACACAAGTTGCTTTTACTACGAATTATCTGGAGGAGTACAAATACTTCAAAAAGGTAATTTAATTCCATCCATTGATACTTGGCAAGTAGATCGCAAGCTGGTGATCAGGTGCGTAGACAAGTTGGGTGGGGAGGGGGGGTGTTCAGGTGGCAGAACACCCTTGAAATCTTATTATATGTATACATATATATATATATATATATATATATATATATATATATATATATATATATATATATATATATATTTCTTTTTTTTTATTTCGTGTGTGATTGGACATCACCTTGATCGAGACACACCCCCGAAAATAATTTCTGGCTACGCCACTGCTGGTGTTGTAAGAGTAAAATCTTGTGGTGACTTCGAAGGAACATCATAGTCTGTCGCTTTCTTATGACTTTCATGGCGTGACTTAGCTGCTGGAATCGAAGTTTACTTTGAAATAATTCGCGATGTGCTAGATTTTGGGTAGGAAGGATTTTAGGAACAAAAGGGAACTCACGTATTGTGCGCATGGCAACTGGCCTGCTTTAGTTTAGCGGCAGGCTCGCCTCATGACGCATTTCGCACTAAGTGTGTAATATGGCGTGACGCGGATTGGGGGACTTGATAGATAGTCCGGCATTACGTATTCTTAACAGCCCAACTAGATGTTCATCAGGAAGCCAGACTTGCTGATGAGTGCGCGAGTGAACTCCAAACTTACACGCTCAAGAGAAACATCGGCTAGAGGACAGCAGCCGTGGACGTGGATGATGCTGATTAGATTAATTATCATCGCGGTCCGCCACCGCTAGCTTTACGCCTGCTGCACGAGGGGTAACTTTGGCGCTTCCCCGAGCTTCCCGCGAGCTTCAAGTCGTTCTAAATTTGACTTTTATAGTGGTTTTTTACTATCTCAGTAAGTTTTTAATTGGAACCAAGAGTTTATTTGCACTAATGGAAAAGCTGATTAAGGAATTTTAATTAATTAGTCGACTTATCGCAAAGATTAGCCACCCATATTATGTCCCCCTGGCCGTATAACTCACCTACGCAAACCGCATAAGTGTAACTTTCACGGCTTTTGTTAAACAAATCTGTAAAGCTTAAAAAAAACTATAATTTTAGGTGCACGCATGAAATCTACTATACTGATGAGTGAATACATAAGATGTATGTCTTTTTGTACAAGGCATCGTGTATTATACTGTGTTTTCCTATGTTTCTGTATATGATCAGGTATCACTAATGACGTTTTACCTTTTGCTGTATTGCCTTTGAGAGGTTTGAGCTAAATAAATAAATTGAAGTTTTAAAAATTCTTATAATCATGTGCTCGAATGAAGCAATCGGGTTTGAATTAGTTAAAGCCTCCATCTTTCTGAGCAAGAGGATGTGTCATATATAAACGCAAATGACACACCCTATGTAAAAAGGTAGCGAAGGCTAGAAGCACGAGCCGGCACGTGCTCGTTGCTCTAATACGTGCCTTTTGAGCGGCAGCACTCGTGCCGCAGAAGCAGCTTTGAACGCCGCCATCTTCTGTCCGTAGTTTTCGCCTCCCCACGAATGTAAGAGTGAACGAAATGCTTCCCGTGAAAGTTTGTTCACTGAGTGACATCTAAGGCACCGTTCAACAAATCTTCTAGTAAACTTTACAAATTCATTCACAGGTGTTTGCATAGTTCTCGACACAGTTAGAAGGAAAGTGCGTGCGGCTGTTTGGGATCTTAGACAGCCTAGAAATACTCTACCTAGAGATAACTTGTACAGCGTACTTCACTCGTGTGGGACAAGGTTTGAAATGCGGTAAAATTTCTTCAAGTAACAAATTGACCCCTGTCTCATTCCTGAAAGGATCTGATAGGTCCCGGCTACTCTTCGCAGCAGGTAGGTACCACCTGCCACGAAGAAGAGCGGACGCGAAGCAGGCACACGCCGCAGGGTGTGTCTTCAGTTGCTTCCTCCTGCCTTGCTTCCCCTATTTTATCGAGAAGACTCGCTCTCACTGGACCCTTGCTACTACGCCACGCTACGTTTCTCGCTATTTTGGTAAGATAGCACGCCTCGAGTAGGTTACGTAGCTCCGCGATATTTGCATTACAATCGCGTTTGCTCAGTACTTTTGTCGCTCGAGCGTATAGAGTAGCAAGAGATAAAATATTACCAGAAGTCTCCGTTAAAAATAACAAATATACCGATACAGTAACTTGGAGTTGGAGATAAAACTAATCTTAGCTGACTTTGGAAAGGAAGAAAGATTCTCATCAAACCCACGCTATGTTTGTTATGCTGTTCCCCTTGCAGTGAACGCTTTAAAGAAAAAGCGTCCATAAACGGCAAAGGAACGTTTCACACACACGGGTCTTCAATCGGAAAGACAATAAAGGGACCGCAACCAGCTCTGGCAGCTAAAGCGATCGATAGATATATTGATTGATTTACTAAGTAAACGGTTGATCGAATAATTAATTAATAATTAATTGATTAAGGGTTGATTGATTGATTGATTGATTGATTGTCGAGCTCTACACGATAGAACCTTCTGACAGTGGTGAAATAGTGTTTAAAAACATTGCCGAAACGGGCAGAATTACTCCTAATTAAAATGCAATATTGGCACTGTTCCTAGTTTCAACTCATACTGGCCCCTCGGGCGTGTTTTCTTTACTGATGGATACGATGTCGTTAACATGTTTTCATATATCTTGAAATCGCCACAACCCTACAGATTGAAACTGTCTGTTGTTGTTTTTTTTCTTATGGCTGTGATTTAAGCAAAGTGATTCCTGCTTGTTTTTTCAACCGTAAATACATATGAACTACGCATTACCCACTGCTCAGGGCCACTAAAATATAGTCCTCTTGGTTGTACTAAAAATAAAATCCTTTGAATCTTACTGTGTTTGATTCAAAAATACAAGGCAAGTGGATTTTCAAAGACAAAGGGGTTTCTCTCTCCAGCAGCAGCCACTTTGAATATTGTCACGGATGACAAGTGATGAGGCGACGAAAACTGAAGCAAACTAAACGTTTAATGAGGCAAACTTGAGCCCAAAAACAAAAGGAAAAAGATAACAACATAGCGTCGCGGGCGTCGAGGTCGGCGAGACGGCAGAATCGAACGCTGAGGCGAAATTGACTCGACAAGGTCGCGGGCGGTCTCTCATCTGGAGTGCGTCACTATCTCGAAGATTCGGCAAAGAGGGCTCGAGCGTCGCGCCCTCGCGGCGAGAATGAACACGCACTTTCTAGAACAAGAAACCTGGAACAAAGGATAGAAGTTACGTCCGGAACAAGAATAAACGAGAACTTTCTAGATCTCCGTCACCGAGCGTTGCTTTCCCGGCACTGCACGGCAATATCCAAGTTTCCGGAACCTCCACTGGTGTTCATTTTCTCATTTAATCTGCTCACAAATACAGCTCGAGGCAAACATATATTCCAGCAGAACTGACGGACGGCCAGTAACATTGTAAAGTATATGAATGCTTGCTCTTTCTCTTTGAAACGTGGTAGAGAAACTCCTTGAAACGTGGTATAAAATAGAATCATACCTCCCACGCGTCTTGCATGATGCCGAGGTCTTCTCTGTTCACATCAGGATTGTTGTCCGAAGATCTTTCCTTCAAATCAAACTTTATGGCGAACGCCGCGGCAACGCTAAGACACAAAACGAAATTCCTCAATGCCATGATATGCTCCGTCCGGTTCTTTTGAAGGTAGTCGTAATATTAGCAGCCGTGTCGACTGTATTTCGTGTTAGATATTGCGAAACAAAAAAAAATAACTGAAGTCTTCTCTTTTACGTATCTTTTTTTTATTTTAAAAGAACGCATTTTTTTGTTATTTGCGAAATTTTACCTCTCCCTTCTTTTGCAGACAGAGGTGGGTGCGGTCCCTCAGCCGATAGAAAGCCATCCTTGTGAAACGTTCCTTCGCCGTTCATATGCGCCTCCTATACTAAGCAATCACTACACAAGCAACAGCCTAACAAACTTGGCGTGGACTTAATGAAAATGTTTTTTCCTTTCCAAAATCAACTAGGATTAGTTTAGCTGTAACTCGAAGTTTCTGTATTGGTATATCTGTTATTTTTATTAGAGTGTTTTGGAGTATCGTTTTGGATCTCTCGCTACGCTCTACACTGAAGCGACACCAACACTGACCATACGCGCTGGTAGCGGAAAAATTTAGGAGATGCAAAAGCTAGTAAAGGCGCGCCATTTCTCGAAAATAGCGAGAAGCGTGGCGTGACGTAGTAGCGTGGGTCTCGCGAGAACGAGTCTTCACGAGGTTATTGAAAGAAAGGGTAGAGAACGCAACTCAAGATGTGTGACACGCCGCATGTGCCCCCATCATGACCGCGACCAATCTGATTCTTCCAGGATTGGTACAAGCGACAATTTATTACTGGAAGAAAATTTCCCGCGTAAAAAAGGTGTCCCACACGAGTGAATTACACTGAACCAATGATTTTAGAGTAGCGTCTTTCAAGGCTGTGTAAGATCACAAACAGTGCTCGCACGTTCCTTCTAACTGTGTCGGGAGCTAAACAAACACTTGCAATTGAATGTTCGAAGTGGTAACGAGCACATTGTCGAATGGTGCCTTATAGTAGATGTCTCGCATTGAACAAACTTTCACGGGATGCATTTAGTGCCCCTTAAAGGGGTACTTCAACGAAATTTGAAATTTTCCCGTGGTGTTCAAAAGTAAGTTGAATATGATCAACAATATCCGTAAATGACAATCGCACGTTTGTATTTTGAGCCTGGTGGCTGTATTTTTTGTTATAAGCGGCCTACACTTGCAAGCGCTCGGAGAAGGCCTAGCGGAGACCACGTAACATCCAACGCAATCGTGACGTACGTCGTTTCAGGACGAGCAAAGCTACGGCGAGGCTGACGTCGAGAGGATGGCCTAGTCGTTCCAGCCACCGATGCGGCTGCTTCTGTATGAATTTTGAGTAACGGGATAATCGTCTGTAATCTTGTAGGAGGACAATAGCGACTTCTGCGACACACAAAAGGCATTCTCGGGAAGAGGGGAGTTCCTCCTGGCCCTCTTCTCTCGTCGTGGCCGGAGGCGAGACAACCTCCGTCACTAGCTGTCAAGGTTCCTAGACGGGCATTACGAACGAGGCGTTAGCGACATCCACCAGGTTCTCTTTGCTAATCGTTTAACTCGTTTTAAAATTCCTTTTCGTGACTTTTTTTAACAAAATATTGGTATATTCGATGTGATGATGCTCCTTTGAACACATATAGACCAAAAAATGAGCGCCGAAATTTCGTTGTAGAATCCCTTTAAAATTGCAGGGAGACTAAAACTATTGAAACAACATGGCGGAATTAAAATGTGCTTCTGCGGCACGCGCGCTGCCCCTCAAAACGCACGTATTAAGGCATTGAGCACGTGCCAGCTCGTGCTAGTAGCCTTTGCTGAATATTTAGCCTAAGGTGTGTCAGTGGCGTTTGTACATGACACGCCAACTTTCTCAGAAAGATAATGGCCTTCGATAACTTAAACCCGATTGCTTTCTTCGAGAATATTATTATTATTATTATTTCAAATTCAATTGATTTATTTATCACAGGTGAAGGCATTAAATCAGCAGAGGGTAAAACGTTAGAAGTAAAGCCTGATCATATACAAAAATGTAGGAAATACAAGTAGAGTACACGATGCTGTGTACAAGGAAGACGTATACCCTGTATCTAAACAACTAATCTCATCTGTTTTGTCCAAATTCATGCTTGCATCTAAAATTTTATGATTACATAGCATTTCAGGCCGGTAGAAAATACAATGGCCCATGTTTAGTCGTTACATTGCATGCGTACTACTCTACCCCATACAGCAGACATACCAGAACCATCAAGAGTAATAACATTAATTCTAGGTATTTTCCGCAGCCTCATCTGCTTTTTGATCCAGTTAATATTAGGCTCTCAAACATACTGTATCTGAAGAGGGGAAAAATTAAAAGCATGAGTAACTATGTTTTCTTGGCTTAAAGGGGCACTGACACATCAAAATCGTAATTTATTTTATTATCCGAAACGATTGAAAATGATGCCGGGACATTACCCTCAAAATTCGAGACTTGGGAATTCAGTATTTGTGAATTAAAAAAACAATTTCCAAATGCCGAATTTGAAGTTCCCGCGCGATCCGCGCCAGTGCAGTCTGTCACGTTTTGCGGTCTCCTGCGACTCGACATTCTTTCGGACCTCCGCACCACGCTGTGAAGCTAAGCGCCGTTGCTACCGCGACCCGAAGAGAGGAGGAGGTGAGCAGGCGGGATAGAAGGGAGCCGGCGCCGGGGAAAAACCGGTTTCTTCACCGACTCGGCGATAAGCCTCTGCTCGAGCGCCAAGTTTTCCGAGGGAGAACACAAAACCAGGAAGCGACATCACACCGAAATCAGATTTTTGGTATTTCAAAAAGAAAGGCCGTAATGCGTTCGTCGTTGCGTTAAAAAACATGTTTTACGATTACCGTTATTAAATGTTATAGAAATGTCGCCTACAAAGCTTCTAAATTTCCTGATTTTTGACGTCACCGATCAAAAGAAGCGAGGAGGTTAGCGCGGGAAATATAAACGCCAAAAATAAAAAGGCGCGCGCGCGCGCGGGGAAATTTTTGTTCGCGATGCGGTTTTTTTTGCGTGTCTATGACTACAACTTGCATCGTTTTAGACAATAAAAAAGAATACGACCTTTGGGGTGTCAGTGCCCCTTTAAGTGTTTCATCTCGTAATGTTTAATTTGAAGACTGCAAAACAAAATCTCTCTTATGTATTGATTCCTATATAATTATTTACTGATTATCTCCCGGCTTTTGTATTTTAAAGTTATAGTTCATGCCAACAGGTAAATATTTTCGCAGCCACCGTTATCAAAATTTGTCAAATTAGATTTGATCAGGAAGTGGCAAAAGAGCAGGGCATACAATCCAAAGTGCTTTCATCAACAGCCAATTCCAGATTCTTCGGAATTCATTATAAGAAAAAATTATGATCCCCAGCAGAGTGCTCATTATCACCTGTCAGAGGTCAAGGCTATGAAAGGGATAATGTGCCAAGTAAATAATAAAGAAAACGCAAGCGTGAAACCAATGTGTGAAAACCCTGATGCTAAATGTCTTCAGTAAGTGTTTTAACTAGCTCCAAGGCAAACAAAAAAATACGGAATAGTTTTCTTTGTGCTGTGCTTTCACTAATAAAATTGGCGTTGCCTGGTGGTGTAGAATTGAACCGAAGAATTGCTGGCTTATATCCTAGAAAGTCAGAAAAAAGGTGCAAGTCGCAACAGATGTCAAAACATAGAAATCTTCATTCGATAAAGCGCTTGTTAAATCTCATGACCGTTTAGGAACTATAGACCATTTGATTAAAAAGTGCGCCCAAAAGTACGAAAAATTCAAAATTGTAAGAAGAACATTTCGAGCTTAACATCCGCAATGTCTCATCTTGAACCAAAACTTGTTGATCTTGAGAACAAAACTGGATGCAACAATCTTAATTAGTTACGAAATATCTGAAGTGACTCGCGAGTCCTTTCATAATTTAAAAAAGCACGTGAGAGCAAACATCTTCCTTAAGATTCCAGAAGTAAAGGTCACCTCCATTGAGCGCGTGCATAGGATTGGGACAGAGCAAAGTTGTGTTGTTTTGTCCGGCCCCTGGTGTTTTATCCTTTCTAGCATTTACCACGTCCTGTTATAGTTCGTTTTTTTGTGTTTTTTTTTTACGGCAGTGGAAAGGTCTTTTTTTTTTAAACGCAACAAAGCTAAAAGGTTCTAGTATTTTGATTGACGTAGATTCCTCTCGCCATGCATTTACAGTCCTTGCGCCGAAAATCGTGGGCGAGAACTTGAGCTGAAGGACCGAACAAGGACGAGGTTAAACTGGTCTATGACTGGCTTTTCATCACTGGTGACACTTATCCTTGGAACGCCGATGCTCCTTGCCGCGAAAGGCAGCACAGCGTTCCATCATATGCTTCAGCTTGACAGAACCCTTCAACGCCAAGTAATTTTAGGCTGATTAACGTCAATGCTCAAAGTATTTGAAGCAAAGGTAATTAACTGGAAACTTCATTGGATGAACACCAACCCGACGTTGTCGTCATTACTGAGATGTGGTTGCATCAGCTCTATTCGTGACTCTGAGGATGTTCCCACCAAATTTAAAATTATACGAAAAGCTCGCAGCTCTCGCGGGTGCGGTGTTGCTATCATGTTCTCATGTTCAAGGATAAACTGAACTTTGCTTTCTTACAAAACTTGAAAGTATAAAACAGAGAGGACGAGGACGGGAACAGGACATCATGAAAGATGTCCTGTTCCCGTCCTCGTCCTCTCTGTTTTATACTTTCAAGTTTTGTATCTATTAACGAACACGCTCGTTTTTAATTGTAATTGCTTTCTTGCACGACGTTCAAGGCACCGCATCTTGCTGAACAAAATTAAACCTCTTCTTCCCCCCTCCCCCCACCCCACCCATCGGTGGTGTTGTTAATTGGCCTCGTGATTCAACCGTGTCGTGTCTTGAAAATGTATACCATTACCTTACGTCCATTGTGCAGCACTATAAGCACGTCATTGTGGCAGGAGACTTTAACCTTACAAATTGTGAAACAAGTTGTGAAATTGCTGGGCTTCATTTCTCGTTTGACCAAATAATTTT